AGCTGACAGTCAGAGCTCTGAGCTGGACCAGAATAATATCAAAGCTTCTGGCTATAAAAGCAGGCATTTAGACAGCGGACAGTCATTGGGGATCGCATTATGTGAGATCACCAAGGGGGGAGAGGGAGGGATGGAGTGGAATTAATGGGATTTTGTACGTTTTCTCTTCATAATGCATCAAGGTGAACATGTATGTGTCTGTGCACATTTGTCCCTGTGGGCAAATGGGTGAAAGATGTTGGTATTGATCATTAAATACTGTGCTAGGTCTACTGAATGAAACAGTCTTTATTGAGCTGGAGAGTCAGTGAAGACATTGTGATAAGAAAACTGGAAATAATCTGGAATCTCACAGTTGGAGTCATCACAACGCCTGCTGGTTTAACATTTTAAAATCTGATATAATATATCAAATTAAGAAAATAAATGTAGCTCTCACTGAGTTGACCTTTTTTAAATCAAATATTCTACCTCGCCGATGTTGCCATGCCAGCCACCTTCCTGTTGTGTTAATGTGACGCCAGGTTTCTGGCCATGCTGTTATATATAAATTAATGTGCAGTGCTGTGCAGGCTGAGACGGGGGTTGGGGTGAGAAGCCGTCCAGGCGTAGGAGATGAGGACTTCATATTGTGGTCTCTGTATTAGCACTTAATATTAATTAGGGCACTCTCACTAAGCCTTCCTCCTCCCCTACGGTACCGTGGTAATCACCTTTCCCTTTGGAAAATTCGAATCAACGCCCACTACACTTGTTTTGTGTTTCCTCACTCAAATCCCTTTGTTTCTCAATCTGCTGCTTGAGTCAAATCCTCTCCTCCTCCACTCAACTTTCTCTCATGCTCTCTTCACCCTCACTTCACTGCCTCTGTTTCCAAACAATTCAAGTCTCATTCATTTTCTCCTTTTGCTCAATTCCTTGCCTGCTTCCCCCAGTCCTTTACCCCAGACGTCCCCTTTACCTCCCTCTGCTCCCGCTCTTGCCCAATCCCTGCTCTATGTTAAGTCTGTTGTGACACGATAGCAGAGCGAGATGAGTATTGGGAATAGAGGGTATAGAGTCATGTTAAGTGAAGATTTGAGAACAGTGATGGGTTGACTTTAGGGAATAACACCCCTCCCATCCCTGCCCTGTTTCCCAGACTACCATGAAAAGCCATTAATTTGTGTAAGAGGACTTACATGTCCCACTTGCCAGTCAGCCTCTTATGATAGACAGATAATTCAATTCTTTATACTGCTCAACAACTCTCAAGTGTGTCTGCTTGTCTGTATCTAACATCTCTCCCCTTTCATTATGTTAGTTACATGGTGTTACAACATTTCCCCTTTTGGCTGGAGCTCTCTTTAAAACATGGTGCTTAAAGTAAAAATCTCCACTGCATGGTTTCTACTAATTCACATTATTTAAGTTTACATTTCTTCAGGAAGCATCCCTGATATCAAGCACAGAGAACAAAACATCACAACAAGATGACTCAGTCGCACAAAGCAATCATCACACCCACACAGGCACACTAATTAAAAACAATCACAAATATCATTTCAAATATCAGTAAGAAGGGGAGCCTGGTAGAATTGGCCCCCGATGTGCCGGACCTAGGTCCATGAGTCATCCCCCCCGTCCCTCAGCTGTCACTGTCTGTTAAAGGCAATAAAAGTTCAAAAAATTATAAAGTACAAGTCCATAAGAGGAATGTCTGTGATCTGAGTTTGTTTTGTCCTTAGTTTTAGATGTAAACTGCATACTATAGCTTTAAATGGCACTTTGGTAAACTGTGTGCAGTGGTTTCAGGGTAGTGGCAGCAAGATGAGATGGATTTGTCCAGAATCCAGTGTAGATAATAAAACATATTTTGTCTGTTTTGAAGGGAGAAACAAGCTTTGTCCTGCTGCAAGAATCTGATTTGCACTTGTCTCACAAAATAACTACTTATAATAGTGTACTATATCTAGATTTCCATTAAGGAGATGGATTTGAGTAGGAACATAAATGGCTTGATTTTTTGGAGGTTATTACTTATTACTAGTAGTTCAATTCAGATTGTAATATGCCTGGTTTTAGGTGCAGCAGATGGTATATAACATGGCATCGTCAGCATACTTATGGACATGCAGTGCTCAGTTGTAAAATAAATGTTATTTATGAGTAGAATAAATAGCAGGGGGCCTAATATTGATCCCTGTGGGACACCTTTATCAACCATTTGGTGTCTTCGTTTGAAACCAGCTGCAACAACAGTTTAAACTCTGCCAGAAAGATATGATTTGAACCAGCTGTTCATCAAAACTAAAGCAGCCTATTTAACAAAATGTGATCAACACTATTGCAATACGTTTGCAAGAATTGATCAGTTCACTGCACAGTGTATGTCTTCATGTATTCTCTTGGTGTGCATCAGTGCTGATTCCTGTCTTGAGTCTATTTTTCTCAGCTTGTTAATTACCAAGTCCTTACTTCTGCTGACCAAAGTTTTTCTCCACTCCACTGCGATTAGACACAGTTACCTCCCCTCTCAGTCCACACACTGGCTTTCGCTCTCTTCCATTCTTTCATTTATCCGTCTCTCCACAGTCTATCTAAGTCCCCATCTCATGCCATCTCAGTGCCGCTTTGAGGCTGCTGTCCCTCATCGTTTCCTCTGTGAAATAGCTTTCACACCCAGTGACTTCTCCAGAATGTGAATGAAGCTGCTGCGAGTGGACGTTTTCCAATACCTGTCAGTCAAAACCTTTACTATGATATGGCAGTCACGTCACATGCATACACACGCATGCATGCATGCACACACATACACATATATGCAAACATAAACACAAAATATGGTTCTTGCAGCAGCGTATTATGTACTGGCAGTCTTTTCCTCAGAGCAGTAAATAAATAATGAGAACACTGTTAAAATTCTGCCAGTAGTCCAGTGCTCTGCTGCTATCAGCCCTCTGCCTCCTTGCTCTTCCTCTCTCTAAAGAAAAGGAAGGCCTTGCTGGAAAGAAAGGGTCTGTTTTTCTTTTTTCTTTTCACATATTTTTTATTCATTTGGCTTTAATCTCCCTCCTGTTCACCCCTCTCTCCTGCTCCTTTACTTCTCCTTTCCCCTTTTTGCTCCCCTTGAAAAACTTCTCTGCCGAGTCTCTGTCAAATGCTGCTCTTGCTACTTTCTTTTACTTTGTATGCAAAATATTATCCATTGACATTTTCATGAGACAGAAGCTCACTTGTCTCTCTCTCTGCACAACTTGCAGAACGTGACATATTCTCTCGAAGATAGTGCAGGAACACTAAGACACGAGGGTAGAGCTCTGTGGAGGTAATGTCAGACCAAGGGTGGAGTTCAGTGGAGCAATAGAAGGGCAGCATACTAGGCTACCTGCCCTTTGTTCAGGCGGGAGTGAACAAAGTGCAAGAATCAGTAGTAGATAATGTGAGATGACAAGTACTGGTATTTAAGCTGGAAACAGATCATGACATGAGCTGTACAAGGTGGATCTGTCTGTTTAAATGTGATGATCTCTACTTTCCTGGAGTGGGCAGTTTGATATTTCAGAGTATTTCCACATAACATACTGACCTTTTGTGTTCAGATGAAGATCTAAAGCAGAGAGATTTGGACTGAGTGAAGCGCGGGAGCAACACATAACAAGACAAGGAGATGTCTGTCTGTGTATGTGTGTGTGAGAGAGTAAGTGTTAACTGTGTGGGGTGCATTCAGTATTAGTGTCTCTGCAGCATTCTGAGATGGGCTAAAATATGTGTAAGCCTGTTGAACCAGACACAGCCACCATGAAATCCTGTTTCAGACTGGCTTACAGTAAATAGAGAAGTTGAAATGTGTGTGTGTGTGTGTGTGTGTGTGTGTGTGTGTGTGTGTGTGTGTGTGTGTGTGTGTGTGTGTGTGTGTGTGTGTGTGTGTGTGTGTGTGTGTGTGTGTGTGTGTGTGTGTAAAAGAGAGAGAGCAATAAACACACACAATAAGTGGCAAGGCACTGCATGCTTACAGAAGTTGTTCTTCATTTCTTGGCAGCTGATAAATAACTCTTTGATGTAGCAGAGAGAGAGATCAAGCTCCTAAAGATGGAAAAATGAGAAACTGACAGGTATAAAATTGCAGTATCCCCATAGAAAGGTCAACCCTGAGTGTGTTTGCGTTCTGTACATTAAATTCTTCTTAATGTTGGTATCAGCAACTCCAATCCTTTCTGCCCTGTGGACTGTCTCCCTTCTCCAGCCCTGAGGTACTTGGCAGCAGCACTGCAGTAAATGTGCCAGTGATGCCTTTTTTAAATTGAAAATTAGCTAGTGAGTGGTATTCTGATTTTGTGTAGAGTTTCACTGGGGGAACAGGAGAGAAGATTTCTGCTCATAAATATCTCCCAAGCTGGGCAGCTACTTAAAATGAAATGTCTCCATATTGCCCCCCCAGCAGGTCATTTTGATTACTGCAGAAAACCGTTGTTCCACCCCATCTCCGCTTCTCTACTGCTCTCCCACACAGTCATTTGCATTTTCTCTCTTGGCTCTCTTCCACATCTTTCAATTCATCCTGTCACACCTGTTATTCACTTGTTTTTCCTCTTTTCCCCCTGTGTTTCCTTTCTCTCCTTCTTTGTGGTAGCGCAGAACCTCATCTAAATGCACAGCCAGTCATGAGCTTTCTACCTGCTTTGGGCATTTGTTTTTTACTGTTATGAAAAAGTGCAATTGTCCTTTTATTTCTCTTTCCTTCTCATAACAATCCAAGGTGACACAGAATTGCTTACCTGCCATAAGATGAATGAACCTATTCCCTGCTTGTCTGCATGTCTTGATAGTGTAGTGCATGGATACCTTGATATTTCATTCACTTTTATGTAGCTTTGGTGGTTATCTCATCCTGTCCTGCTCAAAGAGTATGCATAGGCTTTCCAGTGCTTGCTCTATTGCCTGCAGACAAGCAAAGAGAAGCAAGGGAGAGGAGAAAGTAAGGAGGAGGGAGAGGGTAGCAAATGAGGTGTGGGTAAAAATTATAGGGGGCTAGAAAAGAGAGCAGTAGCCCAGCCCTGGAAATGGAGAGAAAGATGGTGGGGGAGAGGGAGAGAGAGAGAAATTATACAGTGTAAAATCCAGACGAATTCAGCTTTAGTAGTAGTGCAGCGCACAGATCAGCAGGCTCCTTCACCGCTGGGGAACAACCGCCTTTTGTGTTCCCCCCCGCTGCAGTGGGGGAGTGCATTTACCGTCGCGCCCAAGGGGAGAAGCCAAGAAGTATCCTCCAATCAGCCGTTAGTGATTCCTCTCATCTTGTGAGGCTGCTGATGGTGATTTATCACTGACCTGAGACAGGCGCTGCACTCTGCTCAACACTAACCACCTGGAATACTCACCATGGTTTTTATTTCTTTTCTTAAACACAAACACCCTCCTGTGGATATTTCAAATACAATGACCAAAGGACAAAAGGAGGATTGAAAGGACTTACTGACTGCCATTCTTGATTTTCCTTTTCTTTCCCTGCAGACTGAAGATGGACTAACTTTTACAGGTGCATTTGTGTCATATAAGGACATCATTCTACACTCAATGCTTTAATAGAAGAATATAGGGACTTCCTCTGAATTATTTGTTATTCCATACCATATTTTATTCTGAAAGCATGGCAAGCAGGGGAGGATCCTAGACACTCCACTGCAATAATCATGTAGGAGTGATACTTAGGTAGATAGAGGTATATAGGGATGGGCGGGAGATGGAGACGGAGAGAGGGGGTAACAGTTGGAGCACACCTGCCTGCTGAGCATGTCTGGCACCTCGCTGTAGCTTGATCAGTGCCTGCTCTGCAGAGTTTAACTATCAGGCTGTCTTTGCTGAAGTTATCATGCTTCTCATTGAGTGGAGATAGCTTTCCTGTCTGTTTGTGTGTATGAGTATGTGACTGTAAGTGTGTGTGTGGTTTGTATTATAAGTCAGAGTTTGGTATTACACTGCCTCTGGAAAGGATACAGGTGTAGTGGAGCCTTGAATGAGGATTAGCAGCTCTAACACCTTGTCGCTGGCAGCACACAGGGCGATGGACCTTTTAGACAACACTCTCTCGAGCTACGGCCGCACTGGCAGTCACTGAAGGATTAAAGATAAAGGTTTAACCAACATGATGAGACTCAGAGGGAAAGGAAGGGGACAGGGAGACATTTAAGAAAGTTATATTAAGAATTTGTTAACCTTCTAATTCAGGTTATCCTTGTGGGAGGCAGACTGAGGCTAAGATTAGTGAGTGAGAGTTATATGTCAATAGACTGAGGATATTTATAGCAGCTGGACAAGGACAATTAAAATATTAAACCATAAGATAATGTGTTTGGGAGTGAATATGTAGAGTATATCCACAGGCTGTTAAAAAACTGCCAAAATAAATGAAGCAATGTTGATGGTACTTGTGATAAACAATCTTGATTTCCCGAAGAACCCAGCAAGCACATAATCCAATTGATCCATCAGTTGGTTTGATATTGATTTCTCTACGCAGTCTTGTCTGATCTCGGCTCACGAGGTCAGTAATTTAATTATAATCCGTCATTTGGTCTCACCCTGGAACAGTTGTCCAGAGTGCTGAGTATGCTGTAGCTTAGAGAATCAATGGTCTAATACTTGTCATGATATCTGACAATAGATCAGATAAACACAATGCATTCGTGCTGCAGTCTTCTGTAACAGTCTTACAGTTTTGGCATGTGTTGTTTACGTGTCTTGTTTTATTTGGAGAGGCAGTATGAAAAAGGACTTCTCCACTGATGGCAGTTCTGCTGACAGTTACAGGCAATTTGGCAGCTTGTGTGTGTAGTTAGGCTTGTAGTTGAAAGAAGCGCCTGTCTTGATACGTGTGCAGGTGTGCATGTTTTTTTGGGCTTCTATCCCTGGCATATAGCTTATCTTAGCTGCACAGCTGGGGCTTAAAGATCCTGGCTAATGGTGTAACGTGCACCACCATGCACAGTCCCCATTTTCAGATAAATTAGGAAATACCTTTAACAATACATTGATTCTGAAGTGGAAGACTAGCAGGGGAAGCGAGTCCTGACAAGGCTCCCAGGAGGAGAAGTTATCTCAGCAGCCACACTCAGCATCCCTTCAGCGATCCTGGAAAGCCGAGGGTTTGGTAGGTGAGAAGCTTGGTGTGGGAGTTTGGAAAGCGGGAAGAAAAACAGGACTGAGGCAAGTTGTTTGATTGCTGCGTTGTTTGTATCTACTTTGTTCAAAGAGCAATGCTGAAAGTGTGCTGTTTGGAGGTTTAGTGCTGTGAGTGAGAAAACTCAGGAGCAGCGTGGGGGAGTTCAGTTCTTCTGGGAAAACCTGCTCTATACTGCAGTTTCCATCATTAAAGAACAAACAAGGAAATGTACTGTATGACCACTTTCGACAAGTCACTGGATAAGCATTGATTAGTCTGAAACACCTGCCTTATCTATTTAAAGACATAAGCCCAAACCAGGAGGACTCTTAAAAACATATTTTCTCCAGGCCCAAGATTACGGTGAAACTGGATGATCCACACCAAGCACCTGAAGCCAAACAAGCAACATTTTTGCCTGCGATGGAGACAGAAACAAACACATGGTCGTGCAGCTCTGAAACCACATTTAAATTTCCTCTGGATTATAACACTTGAATTGTGAACAAGAAGATAAAAACAGTGACACACCCACATAAACTGTGTATCCGTCCCCAGCAGGGATGTGCTCTGAGAAGGAGTAGTGTAATATACCACAACCCTGCGAATGAGGGTGGGGCTCTCCCACTGCCACAGACAAAGACCTTGATAAAGAGAGTCCTGGTGTGAGAACTAGTCAAGTGGGGCAGTTTTGGACCGGCACAGTCCAGCACAGTGTCAAAAGTAACAATGGGGTGCAACATGTGTGTGGTTCAAAAGCCTGAGGAACAATACAGGGTCATGTTCCAGGTGAGTGTTCTGTTTTCTCTCTCTTTCTCTCTCTCTCTGTCTTGTTTTCATTTATTTCTTTGAGTCTTAAAACAAAAGCATTCCTTTGAGTTTTAATTTTCTTAACTTGGCCCTTTCTTACAGTGATGCTGCCGGATGAGTGACAACAAACAGTTGTGATGAAAATGTCATTCTTTTATCTGCAGCAACAGACAGCAATTAAAAGACACTCATCATAACACACAGCCACTTAATCACAAACCATTCACATATTAAATTCCTATTAACCAGTTTTGAATCCCAAATGAATTTTTGCAAATGTTAACCACAGTTATTTGTATTGATGGAAATGTCTTGGATAGCATCATCAGATAATTCATGAATCAGTCTAAATAAAATTTTATCATAAATAAAGCATGATAATGACATTAGATTGAGCAATTCATAAAATTGATCAAGTGAATTAAAACAGTGAATTAATTTAACATGCCTAATGGATTTAATGTGAGAGCATGTGACACATCTCACCTTTTTGCTGCACTAGTAACCCTTTTGTGAAGATTTTTCTTTATAAATTAGCCTAAAAGGAAGTGGAAATCACTTTGTACCTCTTGAGCAAGGCTATTCATTGCTGTATTGAAATAGTCATTCAGTGACGATAATACTGATAATTATGATAATGATGGTTCACTGTGATTACAATGATTATGATCAGCGAGAGCAGAGCTAAATTGCGTAAGAGGTACGCATGGTTTGGAGAAAGTAGAGTGGTGCAGAGCCACAGAGGCAGCAGGATGGATGGGTTGTTAAAGCTGGGCTAAAGTGTTATGGGAGAAAGGGGTTGCCACGGTTACAGCCTCAGTACCACCTGCCAACTGGGAGCACAGACTGTATGTGAGTAAGCTCATCTGGCTGTGCAGTGCCTGAGGAAGCTCCTGCTCGGCGACTCGATGATACATGTGGTGACCAAAATAAGTCCCATGCTTACTAAGCATAAAAAATGCTCAGCACTCATGGGTATGCAGCGCAACACTTTTAGTATCTGTAGCACCAGAAGCCTCAGCTGGGTCTCTGTAGCATGTTGGAGTCGGGGTCTGGGCCAGTTAACTGGGCTGCATCAGGTGCCAGAGGCGATGCCAAAAGAGAGGAAAACATCGAGAGAGAGACAGAGTCCAAAATCGAGGCTCGGTAATGAGTCCAGGAGGGAAATGGAGTTTAAATAGGCAAATGAAAGAGGGAAAGAAAGTCCCACTGTTCCTTTCTTTCAGTCTTTTTTATCCTGCTGTTTGCCCTTATACGTCAGAAGTAATTGATTTAAGCCCTTTATAGAGCAGGGGTGAATAGAAAGGTTTGAGTCCCTGGGGTGAAGTGCTAGAAAAAGGAAGGAGCAGTATGTGCAGTCTGCATGTGATCATAAAACCAGAGCAGGGCCAGCACATTCCATAATCATTGACCTTATGTAACAGGGGTCAGCAATAATGACACTGTTCACATGCAGGTCAACGTCTTTGAAAGTGGGAATCAAATCATTCCACTGAAGTGAGGTCAGCTGTGCCCAAAGGTTGTGTCCCTAGAAGTGTCCCAGAAACACTCTGTCAGACAGAGTACCTGCACGTGGTTTCCAGACGGGTGTGGCGATGAGTGGAGTGAACGGTAATGGCAGGAGATTTGTTGAAGGATTTGGAGTATGCAGAGGAGAAGCTATTGTGTGAAAGGTGGTTGTATAAGTATAACAGATACTTTGGGGGCGGCAGAGCTGCAAGTCTGCATATATTGTGGTCTGGTAAGCCTGAAACGACATTGCTGGCTGGGAGCAGAGGAGCATGAGACAGTGAGAACAAACGCAGATGGAGATCTGAACCAGAGCCACAGCCTTTGGCTTCGAATGGCTGATAAGTGCATTGCAATGGGAATATATTCAGTGAAACCTGGGAGTCTCTTAGAAGCATGAGCTGGTGGTTAAACTACAAAAGAAGTAAAAATAAATCCAAAATATTAAGGCCGCAGAGTAATCACAGACAGCATTCTGTTTCGTCCCATAAAATTCAATCACAGTTCTTACATGTAATGATTACAAACACAGCCATTGTTGCTGTGCAGATGGCTCATTAATCCAAAGATCATGCCAAGGAAAAGATGGAAGTATACGATGTCCAATCAAAAAAAAAAAAAAATCATAAAAGAGGAAACATAATTACATTTCCCCGCCACATTTCATGGCTTTTCCCTTTAGAGGTTTGTAGCTTTGAGCGGATTCCCTTAAATAACATGTATAATTACACCTTCAAATTAGATGCAGTCTACTGAGTAACTGTCTTTAGACAATAAATACGACATTAAACAGCTTACAGCTACATCAGACTGGAAAACCAGGCTGTTAAATTTGACTGTATCAAAACACTTGCTCCTCTTGCCAAAGGAATAAAATTCATGCATTATACATTGGGCCTCTACTACACATACGCCACACACTGCTGGTTGGTATACACCCACTGGCATGTTTCTGATCAATTTTGCCACCTACAGCCCCAAGTAAAAAGACATATTGTTATTCAGTTGATGAATTACAGACTCAGTTGTTGACTTATGTGCACAAACCAGTGCGAACTAGATAATGCATTTTTACATATACCTGACCTACACACACACACACACACACACACACACACACACACACACACACACACACAGTAAACCTCTGCCCCTCTGAGCACTTCAGCCACTCCCTTCTTTTTCTTTCAATCGTCACTGTAAAGCAGGAGTCTGTTTCCATGGCAACCAGCGTCATTAAACAAACGTAATGTGCTTTTATTCACAATGACAAGAAGAAACATGCTGACAGTCACAAGAGACAAACAAATGAGAATGAATACATACCAGTGACCAGCTGACACTAGCTGGATAAGTGCCTGGTTGCATTCACAGTGCACACACACGAACATACATTAATATAACAATATAAATATAACAATATATATATACAATACAATGTGATGCAACTCAAGAATACCACAAACTAATGTTTCAGCAAACACTGGGAATTATACTGTAAGCTTCTGAAAGGCGTTATGAATTGCAAAGCTGGTATATGTTGCAGTATTTGCCAGTAATACTGTCACTGTAGATTTCACTTATGATGTAATTCTTACAAATATTTACGAATATTACATAAATATGTTTCCCAATATTCCATTACAATTACAATTAATTATATGTATTATATGTTTATAGACACCCTAGATGCTAAATAAAGGAAGTTAAAGTAAAGTGTTACTGATGGGATTATCAGTAACACTTTACTTTAACTTCCTTATGTGTGTCTATAAACATATAATACATATAATTAATTGTTTATCATTTAACACATTATAATGTAGTTATAAACATATAGACATTTGTATGTGTTTGTTAATGTACAGCATGTTTTATAATTATAACTTCTTCTATATTCTATATTTTATATAATTACAGTACAATTCATATTATATTGCCATTCATTATCTGTTTATACTCCAGTTTGCAGTTATAGAGGCTTCACAAGAAGACTTAAACTACATTAACAAACACTATAGCTGTTTTTTATTGTGTGTGTGTTTTTTTTTACTAATTGTTTATACACTGCTTATTAATGCTTAATGTCTTACTTTGCCTTAACTCTCACATGACAACTAAAACATCTAAGCGTCTATTGAACGTTTTTGTATTAATATCTACCAAAGCAAGGGATGTCAGATGCCGTTTAACTTCCTCCAAAATGCAAAATGAGATACACAGTTAATGCTGATTAATTAGACCACCTGACAGACTGCTCATTATCTTTTGGCCAGTCAGCTTTATGTCAGCAGCGTGACCGTCTTCTCAGGTGAAGTGCAGGCTAGTGTGCGTAATATGTATAACCTACCCCTGGAAGACTTCTCAAGCATGAGGTGAAGAAAAAGGAAGCTGAGGGAGAGGCTGACACACTCATCTCTCATTTAATAGGACAAGAGTGACATGTGTATGTGTGTGTATGTGTGTGTGTGTGTGTGGGGGGGGTGGGGGGGCATTAGACCTACTAGCTGTTCTTTCTCCACCTCCAATAAAAATAAATAATTCTGCCCCTGATTCATTTTTGTTCTAAATGATTAATGTATTGATTAATTATGTGTATACTCCCACTGAGGCTTGTTAGCTTCATTGCCATCATTTCAAAGAATATTTGAGGTGTTTTTAAATCAATACTTTCTTACTGTTATCACTTTATAATAGGCCTACCACTCCCTGCTTGTGCATTTAAATTAGCTCAGTGATATCACACAACAGGGGTCATAGCCGGAGTAGGTCAACTCTGTCTTCAGATTAATTGATTTTTTCTGAGGAGGTGACTGTCCCTGCCTTCAAAGCATGGGAGATGAGAAAAATCTATTACTGAACAAGAGGAATTCAATATGTAGAGGTATCGGTCATGCAGGTGCTTTTGCATGAACACTGGGGAAATTCACATAAATCCTGTGTTGGTGGAAAAAAAACCTCTAAAAAATGCTAGGAGGTAAATATTCACCATAAAGGCACATTTCAGATTAAGACTTGATTGTTTGTGTATTTTACCACACACTGAAGGCTATGTGTGTTACTGTGGAGTTAGTCGTCGCCTTCCTCCCCCTCTTTTCCTCCTCTCCGCCTGTTGTACAGCACATGAGTTTCATTTGCTCTTTAAAGAGCTTTCAGATAAAAACTAATTATGCATCAACCACTTAGTAATTTCCCATGAGCTTCCATTGTGCGTGTGTTTACATGTGCTGAACCTGGAGCCAGGTTCACTCATTATTTACATTCACTCTGCAATTCCTTAAAAGCTTGTTTTCTACATTTCTCCTGCATCATTACCCTCTCCTCACCTCCCTTCCTCCTTTCTCCCTGTGTCTCTCCTCCTTTGCTTTCCCTCTCTACACTTTGAACTCTTTGCATCTCTTTCATCTCTACCCACATCATCCCCAACCCCACCCTCAGCCCCGCAGCCGCCACTGATACCACCACCGCCCACCCCCTACTGTGAATTGTGGAGACTTGACTATTTTTCTGAATTTCAATTCCATTTTTAACACCAAATAGACAGAATGATGTTGGAATGTGGGGATATGTGTGCACCCCATGGCTTCCTTATTTGCATAGCTTGTGTCACTTATAAATAGTAGGTGTATGTAATGACCTACTAACCCAGAGATAATAGAGAACAGCACATGGTAAGAGAGTAATAGATTCTCCATCAAGACAAGGCCCAAAAGCTGTCTAACACAACCATTACCCTGCATGAAGTCTTCTTCAAAGCAATCTCAGCACCTCTCATTGATAATGAATGAGAAATCCCCCTCTCTACGCTCTCTCAGTATTCATACCTGTCACTCATGACCACGAAGCTGTTTTCCTAATAGCCTCTCTCTGATCCTGGAGAGCTGGGTTGTGTGGTCATGAGCACAGAGCGCTGAAACAATAGATACCGTATGTTGTTTGGAGAGAAAAAAAAAGATCATGATGTGAGAGCTGAAATAAAAATGCACTTTGGTGAAGGATGTCAGGGAGCATTTTTCTGTAATCTAACATGCAAACTACACAGTGTTAATTCCTTCATCACCAATAGGCCATGTAGGGAGGAAGCATCTTATTTGTTTCCAAGTGTAGAAGCTCATTAAGAGAGACAGCAAGATTTATGAAGGTGCATTAGTGTGAGAAAGGACAGACACACACAAGGAGGTGGACCCGCTGAAATAGATGGTAATAGAGGAGCGTGAGTTGTCTCTATCTCCAGGGAAGGGACAGAGCAGACAGAACTGCTGAGGCAGCACGGTGTCGGGAGAAAACAGGAGAGAGAAGAAAGAGGAGTGGACGTGGGTAGAGAGGGAGAAAGAGAAAGGGAAATGAATGTGAGCATGGAACCACAACGACAAAAGGAGGAAAGAAAGATAGAGGTGTTGCTGGGGGTGGTGATATAACGGTATTAGAGAGAACCAAATCAAAAAAGGGAGCAGGGCCCGAATGTGGCAAGAAAGTTTCTGTGCTTGGCTGCGCAGGGGAACATTGATTTGACATGCAATTACTGGAAGGGGACAAGAGAAGAGAGAGGGAGAGGGAGAATGAAGCAGGGTGGTAAAGACGCAGAGAGTCGCAGACAGCCAAGGTCAGTCACTGTGTGCAACATGAATGAGACTCTACAAAAGCTGTCTGGTTCAGTAACTGTCTGAGACTCTCTCTGGCACAGAAACATCATCATGTTACTGTCTGCCTCATGTAATGAAATCGAGAGAATTTAATTTGTCACGCGTTTGCATGAAAATGTAGAAAGATTATTTCAATTTGAATGACTGGACAGTCTGCAGCCATAGCAGCAATGTGAGGCTGTACTTAAACACAGCAGTGTGTTAAAGGTCCAGCGTGTAACATTTAGGAGGATCTATTGGCAGAAATGGAATATAATATATTTTCATTAGTGTATAATCACCTGAAAATAAGAATCACAGCAGGTCACCTTCCATGGAGTCCACCATTGAACCGCCATATTTCTAGTAGTAGCCAGAACAGACAAAGTAAAGACTGGCTGTAGAGAGGGCCTATTGCATTTTTTGCGAGTTTCGCTGCCACCGTAATTTTTCCAACACACTTCTCATTCCCAGTTTAGCATGCTAACATTTGCTAATTAGCACTGAACACAAAGTATAGCTGAGGCTAATATAAATGTTTTTAGTTTTGGTCATAAACCCAAAATATCGCACAAATAGAAAACAAAACATGGGTTAGCGTTGTCAGAATTATTACTCTTCATGAATGTCTGTAAAACTTTTTGTGCCAATCCATCAAGTAGATGTTGAGATATTCCCCAACTGCAAACTGCAAATTTTGACCTGCTGGTGGCGCTATAGAGGAAAGGTCAAGGGATCGCCAATGTATTTCTGGTTCATCCTACATGACCATGAATGTCTGTACCAAATTTTATGGCAATCTACATAGTTGAGATATTTCAGTCTGGACCAAAGCACTTAGCCGACATTGCCAAACACAGCGCCACACTGCCTCCTTTAGGTTTTTGGGAAATTCTGCTTGATTTGATTGTTTTGGTCAAATCCCTATACTGTGTTGATTCCTTCTCCATATTTATTTTCAATAATCTTTCATTATTAATGGCCTTTTCTCTTCTTCTTGCTGTATGAAACAGCAGTGGTGGTAAAGGGGAGAGATCATATGATTTGGCTTTCAACAGCTGAGAGTCAGGGCACATGATGATGCTACACAGGCTGTATAGTATGGGGCCATATGAGGACGATTTAAATGAACTGTCAGTGACCACAAATAGGGGAAGAGAGCTCTGAAAGGAAAAGGAATTATAAAACATACTGTATGTCTCAGCGAGAAAGGTTTTATTTCTCCGAATTAAAATTTAAAAGCGTGATGTTCCAGCAATTACATCAGTGAAGGTCCTCTTGCTGAATAAAGAAAGAAAAATTGAACTAGTTTCTCCAGAATATAAATATATTTTAGTATTTAAATATATTTGCAGAGAGGAACCAATTTTAATTCACACAAAAGAAAGATAACTGTTTATTGTAGAAGAGTGTTCAGGAGAATTAAAGTGCACAAAACTAATGTACTTTTTATCCCTGTGACTGTTAACTTTATGATTTTTCTCTTTAACTACTTCTGGTTCTCTCCTTCATGAGAAAAGGTTTCTCACGAAGCCATTGGCTTTTTTTTTTTGAACCACTCACAGCTGTAATTACTTTCTAACTGCACTATTTTTCTGCTTTCTTTCCCTCTCTCCACAGAAGGGTCACATAAGCAACATGTTGTGCTCTTTTGAAGCTGACGGTCGATTAAAGGTCTCAGTATATAGCTTTCTGCTCTGCTGCTTGGTGTGATGTGTTGTCAAAACCTTTTAGATATAAACCTGTATTTTTCCCCCTCTTGGTTCTCTCTGCTCCTGTAGAAACACTATCAGCTGTGTGACAGATTAAATACTCTTATATGTCTGCTGAAGTGTATTTTTGTAGTTTTCTGTTGACTAACATGACCTCAGTCTTTCTTTGTTTTAGGCGTGTGTAGCTGTAGTTCCCCCTCCTGTTCTCTGTGTTTTTGTGAGGCAGATTTACTTCTGTGAACTAACCTTGTCCGTCTGATAAAACTGCTGATGTAGGTCTGTCCATCCTCCTGTCTCCCTGCCTTTCTGTTATTCATGTCAGCACTTATCTTGTCCCACTCTTCACCATAAACAGCACTGCCCACTTTCAAAATCTTTGTCTGTTACTTGTGCATTTTGCAGTTTCTTTGTGGCAAACTAGAATTAGAAAATCACTCATTTTACACCTGGTTCCTTTGTCTTTATTCTTGCACAAATTCTCCTTTATTTTAATGTACCCCTCTTTTCTTTTTCTCTTTTCTCTCTCTTGACTATCTGTATTTTCCAGGTGAATGGAAAGGAGCTTTCCCGCCTTTCTGGAGATCCCACTCTGGACATACGGGACCCCGTGCTGTCCAACATACTGAGACGGGGGGCCCGCAGACGGGCAGGCCTAGCAGGAGCTCCTGGAGGGTTAGTGCCAGTGACCATGGGCATGGCCGACTGTGTGGACAGCTGCACTCAAACAGACATCAGCTTCCAGCATATGTTGACTCTGGGCAAGAGTAGCCAGCATCCCTGTGGAGCTCCACCCCCACCCGATCCTCCACCATCCCCTCCACTACCACCGCTACTGGAGCCATATCTATTCAATGAACTGTGAGTAGGAGTAGTATAATTGATCTCTGCAGCATGTCCAACTGTCAGACCAGAACTCATCTGCTGTCTTGGTTCTACTCCATGCCATTCTGTTCACACGTTTGACGTTTCAAGCTGCCCCAATTACTGAAATATTATGTCCTGAATATTGTCATCCTCAGCTTTATAGAGCCTGTATACTACGACCCCACTGACTACTTTGATATCACTCAGCATGAAGTGGACAGACAGGATGAGCTGGAATATGAGGTGAGAGCCCATTAGCTACTCAACAACTCTGGTACAGAAAGCTGCCCCCTCCCTCTCTGTCTGACGTCCTCAAACTTTTCTCCAACTGCTCTAGGAGGTGGAGTTGTATAAGTCTCGCCAGCAGGATAAACTCGGGCTGACAGTGTGTTACAGAACCGATGATGAGGAGGACCTGGGAATATATGTAGGAGAGGTGAAAATACTGTTATGAAATCAAATCTTTAATAAATCTTTATTTATTTCTTTATAATCTTAAACAAAATCCTTCTTTTTTTCCCCCAGGTGAACCCAAACAGTATAGCTGCAATAGATGGACGCATCCGCAAGGGAGACAGAATACTACAGGTACAGGCCTCTTTAAATAGTGTGCAAAATTCCTTTATATGCTGTTTCTTGCATGAATAATCAATACTACAGAGTTGAACATTAAAACCAAAAAAACCCTTTTTCTTCAGTTATGTAATGCACAAAACTGAAGTCTTAGATAACCCCTGCTCCACAATAGAGCCGGAGTCAAGTCACTTTTAATCCAGCCTTATCCACATATTAAAGGAATTTGCTAATAGTCCAGAATTTCTTCTAAATTCTCCCATAAGAGGTTCAATAACATAACTCATGCTATTAAGCTAAAGAGAGACTATTTCCTGAATCAAGAAATTTAATTGAATCTAGTAAAGGGTCTTTCATTATCTGACATTAGCTCAATTTTATTCTCCTCTTTCTCTGTTAGATAAATGGAGTGGACATCCAGGACAGAGAGGAGGCGGTAGCTATACTCACCAGAGAGGACAGCACTAATGTCTCCCTGCTCCTTGCACGACCCGAGATAGAGGTGAGGAAATTGGATATGCAGTCTTCGGGGAGCGCGCTGCAAATCTGAGTCTGAATACTGACCTAGAAGTGCATTCTTCTTCCTTTATCTCCCTCTTTAAGTGGCAAAAAATTAGTTTACATGCTCGGGTATGTTTAGGTAGTGCTCTATGTGGAAATTTAGTCATGAGATTTGGAGGGAGACAACACAGTCACAACATAAAGAAAAGAAATTGGGGACACTAGAAAGAGCATGGTGCTCTGCTTTGTCTTATCCTGCAAGCTTGTGTAAGGAGGCAGAAAAGCAAAGAGGTGCAAAAACATGATGAGAACACAGATAGCGTGAAGAGAGAGGCAAAGACAAATAGTGCTTGCATTCACAGTGCTAATGTGAGTACACCGCTTTGTTTCTCTCAAGGTCACTGTTCTAGCAGATATGAGGGCATTGTAACATGCACCGGATGCCCCTCAATAACACACCTCTGACAAATTACACGAGAACAAACAACTTGACACATGTCGACCCAAACAAATTGAATTTCACTGCACACCGTTGTAAAAATAGAGACAATGTACGTGAGAATTCCAAAAAATCTGTATGCTGGCTGCATTTGTGCAGAAGGAGCTAAAGGGCAGATTTAAAAGGCACTCATTAAAATGGTCTAAGTCAAAGGCGCACACACACATACACACAAAAATAACCTATCCTCTGTTTTTATATGTCCTTGTATTGGGAGAGATGAGCACCAGTACTACCTGTTAAAGGCTGACAAGATTTATATTGCTAAGGCATGGTTCCACATTAAGATTCAAGTGAGAGAGGGAAGGACGGAGAATCATCAGAGGAAAATGCACAAGCAGAGATTAGAGCTTGATCTGTTGTCTTAGGGGAGACAGAGAGAGAACTGAAGGGGTTGTCGAAGAATAAGAATGAAGATGAACATAATCAATATGTCGCCTTGCAGTCTGCACACAGTTCACATTCAAATCAAACCAATTAGTCAAGATCAACGGTGCTCTGAGCAGTGAATTGTTTACTAATTTAAGCACAAGTGTTTGAATTATATTTTATCAGCTTCTGAGGGGATGCCAATCAAAGCGGCAAACTAAACAGATCAACAACAGTTCTTATTAAGTATTAGATATTATTCATCTCTAAGACTAGATTATTCTGGTTGGAAATTTCATCCTCTAATAAAAAATACTTGGATATAAGAAAATCATTTTTTCTTGTTATTTGCTCGATCATGTTTGGATGATCAATTTTATTGTTTTTCTCTGCAGAAAAAGTATTCAGTGGAAACCAAACGCAATTGCAGAGCACTAGAATGAATGAGAAATCTCATACAGCACTGTCTCCATCTAGTGACAGAAAGAAGCACTACTCATATCAGATCATATAGGTGCTACACTCACAAGCATTAAAGCTGCTATAATCAAAATTTTTACACTAACTATTGATCAAATGACTTGATTAAATGTGAAAGGGGTCACTCGTGTACAGTAACCTGCCCAGCACCAAACGCCAACCAGACAGATTAGGAGACAAGCTTGTGAACATAGTGGAGCATTTCTCCACTAATGTTTCCCTCAGTTGGTACAGAAGAAAACAGAGCTAAAATGAGAGTGAATACTGGACTTTAAGGAACAATCTGCATGTGGCCAGAAACATAACTCCAAATGAATTCTAATATTGCTCAATATCTGCCTAATGTGTAAATTAAAACAGTTTTCTTAAAAGTTCACCGTATCAAAAGGTGATTATATGTGAATGAGTCTGCTTGGAGATTGTCTCCCCTGCCACTAATTGGTAAGTTGGTGAGTTCAGGTTTAAAAATGCTTCTTTCAGTTTCTTAAAAGGTTTAAAGATATCGTTATATTCACTGTTAAAAATCCTTCCCAGACATGCACAGAGAAACCTCTTTCTAGTGACAAACTCTTCACATACTCATTCTGTACAGTGAAGTTTAAGCATCCAAGTGAAGTAACAACAAACAAAACACATTTTTGAATGGAGGCGGACCTTAAACCTTCAGATGTATGGTAACATTCTAATGCTTACTTCTCCTTTGTCTTTTGTTTGTCTCTTCAACAATGAACATAACGCCTTCTCTGCAATGCCATCAACAAAATTTGTGCCTGATACACCATTACCTATCAGAACGACAACCAGCTGGACCCAGATGAGCAGGACCTGGAGCCACTTGACAATGCTGTTCATCTGCCAAGCAGCCAAAAAGTGAGGAACAACACCTCTGTTCTGGGTGCTGGACCATGCAGTGCTACTGGTGGAGGTATACTAGGTAGCCATGGTCGCTCAATGAACAGGGATTCACCTGATTTGCTCCAGACAGTGCTGAGCAACAGCCAGGAGCTGGACAGCGGTGTGGGCCGTACAGACGAAAGCACACGCTATGAGGAGTCTTCAGAACACGACCTTCTGGGAGACGACCACACTAGTGCCTCCAATACGAACGCTACCAATACGCCTGGCAGCATGCGCAAGTTTTTGTCCGGCAGAGGGGACACTCCACCTCTGCTGCACTCCCAGGACCTCCAGTTCAGCACTGACTCCCTCTTAGGGCTGGACTGTGTTAATGGAGGAGGGCTGGACCAGGTGGAGCGATTGGAGAGGGCCTACATGGCGGATGCTGTGAGGATGATGATGCCTGGGCTGACTGAGGAGGAGTGTGAGAGGTACAAAGAGCTCCTGGAAATCAAATGTTACTATGAGAAGAACAGTAATGATCTGATGCTACTGGGAGGTCAGGGGCCAGCACAAGAGGAAGGGGGTGTCTCACTGGATGTCAATAGGAATGAGAGCCTGACGCAGCATGAGATGGCCCTACTGGAAGAGGAACTGCGCCACTTGGAGTTCAAGTGTCGTAACATCTTGAGGGCACAGAAGATGCAGCAGCTGAGGGAGCGTTGTCTGAAGGCTTGGCCTCTCGAGGAGAAGAATGGAGCAAGTGCAGGGGCTGGAGCTGGATGCTTGGACATGACTGGTACTTTGGTCAGTGAGGAGTCCTGTCACCACGCTCTGTCAGATATCAATGAGCTCCCAGAGAGGGAGCGCTCAGATAAGGACAGTACGAGTGCCTATAACACTGGAGGGGAAAGTTGCAGGAGCACCCCTCTGGTCAATGACCAGTACCCTTCACACTCTACACAGAGCCTGGAGAGAGGAGAGAATCTTCTCCCAGCAGATATGCAGCTTCCAACCTCCACTAGACAGAGAGAGAGAGGAACCAGGGCTGAAAGAGGAGACAGAATACAGGCAAACCTTAACCAACCCTATTCTCCACACACTCAAAGAAGAGGAGCTGAAGCTAAGACATCCAGCCCCGGAGTGAAGGTTAGGTCCCTGACCCGGGATGCAGGAGCCAGACGTGGCTCAGATGGAGGGGTGAAACGAAACCCCAAAGAGAGGACTGGTGGATGCAGCGCAGAGAACAGCCCTTACCTGTCCCGCCGTCAGACTGATACAAAGCCGCCTCAGCGCTACCTGAGCTGCATGCAACTGAGGTCTCCCTCAACTTCTGAGCGGCTTGGTGGACTCAGAGATGCTTCCAGAGAGGGCACCATGGAGACTGAGGGTGATGCCAGCCCAATGAGTTTGGGTAGCACATGTAAAAATGTTGCCCAGGTTCCAGTTGCTGCACCCTTAACCTTGTCCCCTCCACTGCTGCCTGCCTCCCCTCGTATGGAGTGGAAGGTGAAGATCCGCAGTGATGGCTCACGCTACGTGGCCAAACGGCCTGTGAGGGATCGCCTCCTGAAGGCACGTGCCATGAAGATCAGAGAGGAGCGCAGTGGCATGACAACAGATGATGATGCTGTGAGTGAAATGAAGATGGGCCGTTACTGGAGCAAGGAGGAGCGCAAGCAGCACCTACTGAAGGCCAGAGAGCAGCGGCGGCGCAGGGAGTTCATGTTGCAGAGCCGTCTTGACTGTTTGAGAGAGCGTGAGAGGGAGCAGGGCAGCAGTTGTGGAGGACAACAGGGGACAACACACCAGCAGGAAGCCACCTCCATCCTAGAGCTGTGCCACCGCAGGAGCTTGAAGAAGCGCAGTCGCAGAATCCTGGACAACTGGATCACAATACAGGAGCTACTGGCCCATGGGACCAGGTCTGCTGATGGGAAGAAAGTCTATAACCCCCTGCTGTCTGTCACAACAGTCTGAGATAAGATGGGAGAGAAGGAGGCAGAGTTTGGGAGGGATAAGAAAGTGCCAAAGTGTTTTGATAGGGCCTATAGGATGAACACGAGCTGCTTCAGTACATCTTGGCACAAATATCTGTCTGCAGGGATGCAGCAACATTCTGAAACACAAAGTCCATGATGGTAGTATAAAAAAGCACAAGTTAGGCCCCAGCCTAAAATGTTTAGATTGGAGAAAAGCTCATGACTGAGACTGCCAGGGTTTGTCCAGTAATCATCTGAAACAGAAAGACAATACACACTTACAATACAGTATTGTCGAATTGAAACTGCATTTCAGAAATGCATTCCATGATCACAAATACAAATTTACAAAAGTCATAGGTTTCACAAATACATTGCAGTATATTTTAAATACACTGTATTCCTGTTCAATTTTGTCTGTTTGAAGCGACCTAAACCAGTCAAAAAAAGTATTCCAGCAATTGTCATGATGCTTGACCTCTCACATGTGAAGAATGTGATTGTTTTACACAGAAACCTGTACCAGCTTGTCAGATTTGAAATCTGGACATCAGCGTGAATGAACAAGACAAAAAACAAGTGTGCAGGGTGGACAAGCGGACAGATATAAAGTAAGAAAAAGAGCACACATTAGCATTTTTTTGAAACAATAGATAATATGAAAAAAATAGAAAAACATCACATCATTGAGATCTGTCTTCTTACATTACGGGCAGATGGTGTTAGAAATGGCACCACCTGCTGTTTAGCCATAAGAGAAGTAGTGCACAACTTAAAAGTAATCTTTGCAAGCCTCTACATTTTTATGAATGACAGAGCAGGAAAATCAAAAGAGGGGCTAAAAACCATGCAGCTGTGAAAACATTGAGAAAAAGCCACTTTTGTGCCATAAAACTGTATATGTAATGTCCATAAAGGACTGTTCATTAAGGACATTTTCAAAAGAACATTGTGTGCCAGTTAATGTAGTTGACATTTTTTTCCATTCTTGCTGTGTTCATGTACAAATGCTCCTTTGTGTTGACACAGGAAATGCAACATTGTCAGACCACAGAGGTGTTTTGATAATGAGGAGCTGAGCGGTGCCTTCCTTTCAGGCAGACTTGACTGTATAGCACAATTTTCAAAGTGATTCAAAAAGGCTGAAATACTGTAGCTGAGAGAATAAACACAGAAGCACAGAGCAACTGACAGGCTTACTGTTTTTTTAAAAAAAAGGTACACTGTGTCATACAAAGCACAGAAAACATTTAATTCAAGAAGGCACATTTGCCGTTTAAATGGATAAAATATGAAATCCTTTTCCTCCATTTGCCATTTTTTTCCTGACCAGTAAGTTTTGCAAATGAAGAATATTCTTTGCAACAAAAAATCTGTCTGCAGCTACATCTGTGAACTACAACTGTGAATTTTTCTATACATTTCCTGTCAAAAGTGTCTCTCCCAACTTGACACACAGGTGTTTTTAATCCTGTGCTCTCAGAATAAGCCTATGGATAATTATCCAGCAAAAGTACCTACAATGACAATAATAGCCAACAATGGGGCGACTCATTTATAAAACCTTATGAACAAAAGCTGATCTTTCATTTGGCCTACATGCATGTTTGATATTGAGGTAGAAATGATTTTTTCCATGTACTTAAAGACTAAAAGCCTTTAACATACTGTAATTGTGGATGTGTCTTTCTATGAAGTTGCTTCAAATTCTAGCATAGAAAAAGAAATCATGTACTTGTTCAATATTGTGGTGTCATGTGTCTGCCATTTCACAGTGAAAGCTTTTCTAAATAAATGCTGTGATCATGAGAACTATTTTGGTACCATGTAATTGCTGCTGTCTGCCAGAATGCTCATTATTAATCGTGAGAAGATTTCAAGATGAGAAATAATGAGTCAGCATATCCTAAACAATTCTAAACCTTTATTTTTCTAACAAGAGTGAAAAGAAACAAAGGCAACATTAAAATGAAAAGTTTATACACAAACTCACGACAACTGCGTGTCTGCAATATCAATAATATAATAATAATATAATCTGAACCCAGGAAACAAAATGAATTGTGACAAAGTGAGTTACAGTGAAGTTACCTTAATTTGCAAAGAGAAGGAGGGGGGAGGGAGGAAAAGAGGTAAAATTTAAAGGAATAAAACAAAGTCAAAAGGATGGGTGCTTTAAAAAAAAAGAAAAGAAAAAAAAAGGCATTGAGGGCAAGGGAAGGGAGGAGAAAGAGAAAGCCAAGAGGTACAGATATCCATTTTGGGAAAGTAGCACCAAAAAACATTAATGCCTGTTTTTAACACTTCCCAAAATTTACTCAGTTTAGTCAAAATGCATGTCCCCTCAAAACAGCATCAAACACAAGATTCAATACAACTAAAAAAATACAAGTGTAACCACGGTGCTGTTGTCTAAGCTGAGCTGTCAAACCTTCTGCTGTACCTCAGCTTCAAGATTCGTGCCCAAGCAGAACTGTCTAAGTAAACCCATAGCTTATCCAACTTCAGTGAGTGGGCTGAAGTGAAATGAAACGGCAACTGCCGGTACTCAGACAGGCTTCGGCTGAACTAGCATTTAATACAGTTGGGATAACATAGCATACTGACTGAACTCAGAGACAACTCTAGACCAAAGACACTCCTATTGCGGTAAGTCCCACATCGGTCCAACACAGTCTTAATATGTTAACAGGAAAAATGGGTCCAGGGAAGGTGGACAATAAAGTTTGGGTAAGACGGCGAGTCTGAAACCATGATGGGTGAGCTATGGCTGAGTTTTGGATGAGACAGTGGAGTGTAGAAGAGTCATCACTCTGTTAGTGTCTGAATGTTTGAATGCTGGATGAGAAGGGATGTAGGGTATGAGAGGGTGGGATGTCCTGCATCTTTCTATAACTTGACACTGTCTTCTGGCACAGAACGCTCTGTCCCTTCAATTCCTCCGACTATTCCACTCAAACAGAGCTCCAGCGTCGACTATATCACAAAGTCTGTCAAAAGAAAAAAAAAGTCAAATGTTAATCTCCCGCAAATGTTAAGTCAGTTAAAACTTTATTTGCACATATTTGCATTGAAACTACAAAAAAAATTAAAAATCTCAGCAAAGATACATGGGCTGTTACCTCTTGTTGGGTCTGGACAGGTAAGTGAGGAGAGGGTCTGTGGCTGAGAGGACAGGTTTTCTTTGACTCTGACGCATCCAGTGACCTTTCTCCTGCCCCTTCCCCACTGCCGCCTCTGTGGCCCTTTCTCTTCCTTTTGGAGTCTTTAGCTCGTCCGCGGCTGGTTCGCCTTTGCTCTTCAAGCTCAATCTGAAAGAGAGGGAGACGACAAGAATATTAGACGAAAGCAGTTTAAAAGGTGGACAGACCTCACTAAAGATTTGACAAGGTTAAACACAAAGCAGCCTATTTTCTCATTTCCTACTAAGAGAGCTGTTTTATCAGTCAGACTTCTAATCTCAAACAGAAAAACATTAGGAACAGCACTGGAATGATATGCTCGCTACTACAAATACTTGCATATTTTTACCTAATCTGATCATAAAACTGCATTCAATCAATTTAAACTAAGCACTGTTGAACAGATAAGGAATGGATTATGTAGCAAACCACAATTTAATAAGTATGTTTTATTACTAGTAGCACTATGAAGCGATGTTTTGTTGTGTGGTTTGTTTGATCTTGAGCATGTGCATCCGAGTGGTTTCACACCATCTACCACTGATCTACAGGTAGTGGAAAGAAATGCAGAGAAGACTTCTAGCAAGTAAACGTAAACAATCAGCTTAGCAAACGTTTTATGGAGGAAGGAAATTAACTCAACATGTTTGTTATGCCTTAACTATACACAGTGGGCAACATTTAATGTAAAGAGAAACTTTCTTTACAAGAAAACTCCACAGGGCACCTTTAATTCAGTATGGGTGGATGGCCCTGTAACAAGCTTTGGTAAGAGTGGTGCATTTTTTTTGACATACTACAAAAAAAAGGTTAAATTATATAAACTGACTCGATTTTTGTTGTGTGTATGTGGTTATGTATTGGGCTAGTGCGCACTAATTTCATTTCTGTCTGTAAGATGTTGCCCTCTAAAAAAAAAAATTTATTCTAAAAAGGTCTTTCCTGACCTGAATGAGTGTGTGCAATGTGTCTCTGCATGGAACAGAGGCAGCTTGCAGGACTCTGTGGATGAGGAGTGTCTGGTCCAGGGAAACCTCCAGCAGATCCCCTTCCAGCTGCAGCTCTTCGAGCTGGACCCTGGTGGCTGGTGAAAGCTCCACTACCTGGCCTTTTAGCAAAGGCAGCAGGGGCAGCAGAAACCCCACACCTAAGAAGTGAGCAGAACGCTGTCAGGACTGGTGTCTGTGGGACACTTAACTTCGGATGGATATTTTCAAATCAACACACAATTTTACCTGTAACATTTGACTTCTTGCTGATGCCATTTTCACATCCAGCCTGTGGGCAGACAAGCAGTGTATAAAACAGGCAGGTTGGATACAGCATTGTAAGAAAGACTGAAGTAGCAAATTATTAGATCATCGGTTATTATTGATGAAGAGGCAGAATATGTGTTAGATGCAATTTAATAATCATTTTAATCACTTGGACAGTTTATATTCTGTAGTCTACATTTGGTTTAATAATAAAATAAAGAGATTAAGGTGTTAACCTGAGTGCCGTTGCTTTCTTTAGCATTCTTTTTCGGTGAATTCTCGTCTGTCAGATCAATGACTCCATCCTCTCCTTCCCCTCCCTCGGAGTCAGATAAAACAATCACTGGGCTCCTTCCTGCCCCTTTTTTCATGTCTTCCTTTTTCTCTGTTTCACAATGGAGAGTCTCTTTGAGTTCTTGCAGCCTCTCAAGTGCCTGCTGCAGCTCTGGTGTCTCCAGTGCCTCCTTGGCTCGGCCCTGCCAGGTAATGGCCCTCTCTGTGAGACACTGCAGTGCTTCTCCCTCAGGCAGACGCACTGGCAGTCTCTGCAGGGCAACAAGTAGCGCCAGGATAGTCTCCAGGCGAGGGCGCCGTGACCGCTGGCATCGCGGACACAAGAAGCGTGAGTCCCAGTCCCACCAACAGAGGGGGTTCGCTGGTGGTCCAGAAGAGGGGAGCACGGAGGGGAAAGGAACACAGCCACCATGGAACCAGTCCTTACACAGATGGCAGCGGAGTTGAGGGGCACGGGGCTGACCGCCGCACACACACACCGACTGAGAAGGGGTGGTGCAGGTGTGGTTACTGTTACCGTTCTCTTTTACAGAGTTCTCTGAGTGGCTGGATGTGTCTGTCTCCATGGAGTCGTCCCAACTCCCGTTCTCCTTGTCCTCCTTGTAACTTTCAGTGTTGAGTCCAGATTTACACATGTTTAATTTCTGTAACCTCAGTAGTGCCTCCTTCTCCTGGTGCTCCCCTTCTTTGAATGCCATCACCTAGAGACAAGGCACACAAATCAAGTCCACATACAGAACTAGTATTTATGCATAAAACATGCAAACAAAAAGAAAAGAAGAACTAAATCTTACAGAGATAAAAACAATGAACTCACAATAGCTGCAGGGTCCCTCAGATCCTGAGCAGAGAGGCCCAGAGTGTTGGTATCAGAATCATCTAAAGGCTCATCCAGTGCCTCGGTCTCATCTTGCCTCTCTCTCCTTTTTGCACATGGACATAATACCTGCAGGGCAACACTGGAGTTAAATGCATGCTCTCACGAAGGTTGCCTTACCACGACCATGGTTTCTAAAGTGGAATGCTTTGCTGTGTATCATGTTGCTATATTGATTTAAGTTACATGTTAATATAATTTCCATCAAGTTGCCCACCTCTAGCAGACTGTGCGGACTGCTCTTCTTCAGGAAGGTCTTGGTGGCCTTGTCCCTCCAGGAGTGAGCACTGGCTACCTGCAGTTCCAGCTGCCTTAGCTCCTCCATGAAGACTGGCAAGTCCCTTCCAATAGCCACCAGGCCCTCTAGGTCATCCAGGCATGGGTAATGCTCCCCATTCTACAGATTTTAAAGATATTTAAATTAAATTTTATTACAGTGGAAGAAGAATAAAAATAGGGCCAATCTAATGGACATCAGAAATGTATTTTTACCTGGATTTCCTCTAGGTCTGTTACCCAGGCCCGTGCTCGAGTGAGACAGTCCTGTAGAGCCAGAATGTTGGGCAGTTTGACTGGAATAAGCTGGGCCTCATTTACTATTGCCTCCAGGGTAGAAAGAGGATGTTTCTGCCTGGAAGAACAAAACCACGACAGACATTTAGACGTCTTCAATAAGACAAACTGGTTGTGAAATGATGAAAACCCCTGCGGCAGGTTAAGTTATAGTCGTATTTGGTTTGACTTGTTTCCCGTACCTTTGTTCGAGGCAGATTTGCGCCTTCTCCTCCCAGCGTTCTGCAATTGTGAGCAGCTCCTGAAGCTCTGCCATCGCCGTCTCCACAGACACACTCTGGGGCACGTTGCAGCCTGCTTCCATCAGGTTCCTCAACACATCCAACGTCACCTCCTGCCTCTCCCCTCCCTCTGTGCCTAGGGTGCGCCTCACCTCCGCCAGCCAGTGGCCCTGCTCCTTTAGGCCCTGGAGTAAACTACACTCTGGGACCACAACAGGCAGCTGGGCTCCCTGCTCCAACAAAGTCTGCAACTGCTCAGGCGGTGGAGAGTCCCTCCTCCAGTCCCTGTCATTGACCAGTGCTTGAGCCTGGCTCTGGAAATCCTCCACTGTCCGCAGAACCGCCTAGACAATACAGAGGTGCACTAAATAAGACAACTTTTAATCTGAAAAAAATGATATGATAATATCTACACAGTTAATTTGATCCTTTTTTTTTTTTTTAAGTATACTTTCTGCCAAAAATACAAGCTAGTTTGCTCAGTGTGACATAATTCCTCACCTGCACTTCCTCCAACTGGGTTATCACACATGGCAGGTTTTGCATCGTCTCTACCAAGGATTTCATCTCTGCCAACGTCATCTTACTTTCACTAAAAGACAGCAATATGTAAGTGCATGTAACTGAACAGTTAGTGTAAATGTAACGTTTGTGTTCCATCATACCTGGTCTTTGAGTTACTGAGGAATTCAGTGCTTGTCCTTTGGCAGTGTTCGATGTCTTTAAGAACAGTGTTGAGTTTCCGGAGAAGTTCATTGTCGGGAAACTTTCTTTCCGCTGCTTCCGTCTTCAGCATCTCCAGGTCATTAATTCCTGTAATTCAGTAACCATTTGATCTTACCAGTTTATTTTAAGATCATAATGTGCGTTTTAAACTGTGTTTAAGGGATTAATTTATTTTAATAATAATTATTCATATTTCCCACCTATCTTGTTTCCTTCTTCCTGCTCAAGGGCCTCTTTTACTCTGTTGGCCCAGGAATCAAAGGACTCAGATCGAACCTTTAATCGGTGTAACATGGCTAACAACTCATCCAGGGTGTATCTGTACCTGCAAAGTGAAGAGACAACAGAAATGATTAACACAGCTAGTGGAGATAAACTTAGAAAGCAACAACAAGCAAGTCCCTCAAAAGACTGTTGTCACTCAGTATATCATGGCTCAATGCAAAGCATGCTTGCTAACTAACAGCTATACAAGAGATAAATACCTGAGGTAGAGTTTTTCAGTGGGGCAGTTGCACAGATCCTGAGTGTGATAGAGACACACCAGACGCTCGGGACAGTTTGAGCAGGCCAGAGCAGAAAGGAAGCATGTGGTCTTACATTTATCGCACTGTCTCTCATCGTCAGGCAGCAGCTCAAAAGCCTCACGCTCTGCTTCAGTAATACCCTACAGGTACCAGACGAAGATTTGATTAGACAATCAGAGTTTTCCCCATATTCTTATAAGAACATTACAATATCATACAAAGTCTGCATAGTACCACACTGGACTATTATTCACTTACACATACTAAATGGGAGAGAAACCGTAAGATCTATTTCCATGTCTCACCCTTTCCATTAGACCCTTGCGCAGCTTCCTCTCCTCCTGAACAATACTGAACATTTCCCGGTGTGTCGCTGCAGCCAGGTTAAGGTCTAGTTTCTCTGGACTGGCAGCCATTTTACAGGTGAGCTCTTCATGGGAAAATACACAATACCTCCTTAGACGGCGGTAGTGCTCAATACAGGAACGGCCGGCTGGCAGCTGAGAAGGAAGGAGCAGAGTGATGTTGACAATGCAGGATTGTGAATGATGTGAAATGACAAACTTGAGGCAGAAAGTGTAAACAGACGTACCCAGTCTGCAGTGCAGAAGTTAACAGCTTCAGCAAAGTTATATCCCTGATTGAAGCCACTGTGGTAGGCTCTGGGGAAGGTGATGACGAACTCACCCGCACACTGGTTGGTACGTACAACCTGCCAATCAGAAACAAAAGAGCTCAATCCCAGAAAGCTTTAGAACAAACCACATTTCTGCAGTGTGCATGTGTGTTTATGTTAGACTGACCGGGACACCATGAGACATGAGGATATTAGGGTTCATGATGGTGACAAGCTGGTGCAGGAGGTCAGGTTGAAACTCAAACAGCTCTGGCGTCAGCTTCTTCATCACCTCCTCAAGTCGCTCAGCAGCCACAGACGGAACCCCATACCAAGTCTTGGGTTCACCCCTGGTTATGATAAACAGGTGGGAAGTGAAGAACAGAGAGGAAAAGTCTTTCACAGTTAGTACCATGTCACATAACATTACTATAAAAGCTGCATTTGTTTAAGCTTATGACTACTATATAACACCAAATGCACAACTATACACAAAAAAGCATTCTGTACCAGTGCAGGTAGTTGATGGAGTAGCTCCAGTGATCCTCAATGTGCCAGCAGAAAGCTGAGAACACCATGCCGACATAAAGCCAGGGCACCTTCATCCCAGAGATGTCTCCATTAATATGGCACAGGAGGGACTGCTCCAGTACGGGCATCACATTCAAGTTCCAGCCACTGCGGGCATATTCCTAATCAACAAAGAAAACAGTGTGCACTGAAAATAAACACAAGACTATGATTGTGAAAAGGTTTGGGAATCACTGATTAAACTGCGCAGTTTATTTTAATGCATTCTTGTTATTTTCAAGAGTATCACTGAATTGAGTAGGATTAGTTTGTAGAGTGCATTCATATTGAAATGGTTAGTCATAATGTCACATTGGCCTTTTGCAGTCATGATACTAACCTATACCAACACTAACCTTGTATTTAAATTGCACTTCTGGCAGATTTAAACGTATTATTTCAATAGCTTTCAACACTTTCAACATGAAATCTAAGGCAGGAAGCTTTAGTCCTCACTCTTGATGTCTCAAGATTTCACAAAAAACTGTTGAGGTTACAAAAGAAAAGAAAAAACACAATGTGCATACCTCCTCTTCCTTTGTGAGCTTCCTCTTGCCATTGTTCATCGGGAAGCCACTGCCAAACTCTTTGGAGTGTATGTCCGCTCCGTACTCAACAGTCACGTCTTCCTCAATACTACTGACTAACCTCCAGAATTCTCTCTCCACAAGCTCAGTGGGAACCATCTACACCAATAACACACAGGCTAGAGATTAGTCCCTCACATTATAACCTGTCAGGGCAGAGTCATGCTTCATAATGAATAGGTGATATGTTGTGTGGGTGCGCTTACATGGACAGGCATGTTGAAGTAATCTGCTTTGAAGGCGTCTGCCATTTCCCCAAAACTTTGCAGACTATACTCTCGTGTAGCCTGTTCAAAGCCAAATGCTTCTGCAGGTTTCTTGCATTCCTAAAAAGAGTATTAAAAAAAAGGGAGAAAAATCAAAACAAAAATATGTCTCGTCTGTTAGAAGAAACAAGTATTACAGACACAAACAAGTGGCATTGAAACACTAAACCATACCTCTGCCACACACTTAGGGCATCGCCAGTTGCCCTTGGGAGGATCAGTGAGTGGGGGTAGTAGACAGTAGGTGTGGTAGTTATCATCACAGCCATCACACAGCAAGAGTTTCTCGTCATCATCTCCCCGACCACACATCCGACACACAAAAGACTCGACCTTTGAAAAAGCACAAAACATTGACTTTAGGGTTTGTAGTAACTACATTGCTCTATGAAGCAGCAAGCAGGTAAAATTCAACAAAAGATGAGATTGTGGAGAGAGAAAAATGTGAGTGCATTTTGTTTTGAGCCTGTAGAATCATTAGAATTCTTGTGATAGTTTGATATTCTGTTTTATTATGTTGATCTCAACTTTCTACTACCGCCTGGGTGCATCCTTTAGTCTACTTACACACTGTGGGTTGTTGATGTTGCGCCTAAGCCTCATGGTCATTTTGGTACATGGTTTATCTCTATCATCTTCCTCCTCATCATCATCATTCCCTTTCCTATCCTCTTCCACTGGTTCTTCTTTCTTCACCTCGGACTTAACAGTGACGCTAGGGGGAGGCAGTTGAGGGCTGGATGAACTCCCGTCACTCTGCCTCTCTTGAGGCTCCAGTGGCTCTGCTTTGACTGAGGTATCAACAGGAGCAGGAGCCTCCTCCTTGATGGTAACCGTTTGAGGCAGCTCATCTAAAAGAAGACCAAGGATTGTTCAGAATGTATTAGACTGAGACAATAATTGATGGCTTGCCTCTTTCTCAAGTTATTGCTTTAGTTGCATCAAAATAGTTGTTGTGATACAGCGTTGCATCTAAATTTCCAGATTTCTCAATGTTACTGTTGCCAGACTTTAAAGACCTTATAACGTCTGTGTCTAAGAAACATAGATAATTAAGGTTGTAGTCATGGCACTTACCCTTCTTCCTGATGCCTTTGTCCCTTGCTACCAGTCCAAGTCCCATCATCTTAGGCCCTGCGCCATAGATCTGTAGCTTCTTCAGTTCAGGGTTCTTCTCTATGTCTTCCTCTGTAGGTTCAGGCTGCAAATGAAAGTACACTTTCGTCACGAGCAGCACTGACAGACAACTACTTCCAATGCACATTGAGCAAAGCAAGGGTCTACGCCAAATGCAGAACAAACAGTTCAAACATGAGAGCATAGCAATGCATCACGAGGGTTATGTTTGGTTAGAAAGTAAGGAAAAGTTAGCCTACATCACAGTGAAAGGTTAAGACCCACCACCAGAACACACAATCACCAGCAGTTGCAACCATACAGTTAGGTCATTTAGATTTATGTTCAATATGATTTGAGTTTTAACCAAATCCTTGGTTGATGTTAAAGTAGCAAAAAATCTACTTTAAGTTTAATTTGTCATAAATTATAAGATATTTTTGAATTCTGTTTGCTAAAAAGATAAAAATAGAGAATATAGACATGGAAAGAGTCCACTGTTTTTGAGGTTTTTAACTCGAGCTGGACTGATTCTGGAAACATGTAACATTAAGTTTTTTTTATTACCTATTATCTCTGTCTTGCCCACTGGTCTTAACTATTAACGTCTAATGTCTTTAAAGGTTAAACCTTTCTAAATCTCAAACACAACTTAAATGGTCTTGACTTCAGCTCTGACACTGCTGCATTCTTATACCATGCTTAGAGATCATCACCCCACTTCCTCTTCTCACTTTCTATCATTGCAGGCATATTCTTATTCCTTATATCCTCCATGGTGTCTGTAGATAAAAACAGCTCATTCTGAGGTGATTATACACTAATGAAAACATTGTTATGCACATTACATTGTCAATAAATCCTCCTAAATGTAACACACTGGACTTTTAAGAAATGAATGTTGCAGTGAATGATTTTGTCATTTTGGACATCCTCCCTTGCAGTAAATTATTTTTGTGCAATGTTTACATTTTATAGTATTATCGTTGGACGTTTGGCCACATTTTGGGGCGTTTGTTTGAATCTTCCATATGATTGCAAACAGTACACACAAGCCATGTGCAATCAGCAATGTAGGTGGAAACACAGGTGAAGGTCACAAGGTCTTAACATAACTTTTCTAAAAAGCACATAAAAGCAGGACTTCACAAAATTCCCAATTACAGTTCCAACCCCGAAAATATTCTCTAAACATCAATTTAAGGTGCTTATGTCTTATCCTAAATATTTGATCATATGAACTCCTTTTCCTTCTACTTCTACTAGAAATCAGTAGTCTGTATGCAGTCAGAACGCAACCTGTATTCCCACAGTAAAACAATTCATGAATGCATGTCACTACAACATTATTACTGCCATTCATAGCACAACAACGGAACAGATGCAATGCCATAAAATATGTCGTTCAACACATTTTTCCCCAAAGGAGGGTAATGGAAGAAGCATCTTTATTTTTGACTTTGCTGCCTGTATGCCGTTGTACTCCCTTTAGTCGTGCAGTTGTGCCCATACAACATGCCAATAGTTCTATATCTATATTTCTGAGTGCATAGAAAGAAGCTCCTGTTGCTGGCACCCAAACTTTATTGACTAAAGGACTCTGCAAGTGGGTTGGGGATTGAAAGCAGTACACAACAAAGCAGATCAGTAGGAATGATGGTAGGGGGCAATCAAACTATGGTTTGGTCTCAAACAAACAAACTTAGAAACCTGGAGACCAAGAAAAATTACAGGCTCAGAAAAGCTAATTGCTTTTTAATGCTTCTTCAAGTATCCAATATTTTACTGTCCATCATTGGACTATGACGCTCTGTAAGTTAAAGCCAAACCTACTAGGTTCAACTTTAGTGAGTGCACTCAAAAGAGAACGCATGCAGCCACAGTCAGCCGCTGTACTGAGTAGACAGCAAGGCAAAACAGCATAAGTGCAAAGGCACACAGACAGCCCAGTGACAAAGCATTCTAAGCCAAGTACAAACACAGTAAAAGAGCATGGGTGAAAGAGTGAAAACTAGAAAAGTGTGTTTGGCAATTAAGGATAAAGTTAAAGTTTCTTCAAGATCCTACAAGGAGGTGGGCCATCTAGGACACTAGTTCTCAAAAACACTAGCACCGGGTCACCAGATTTGCATACATTCATAAATTCACAACCCAATCTATAATATAATGCCTAAAAACACACTGGCCTTAAAACACTTTAGTCCAACATGAGCCTCATTTTTAGTAACAGTTCTAGAGTACAGCTTAACAGCTTAAATAAAAACAGAAGAAACAAGCAAGGGAAATCTTCTTCTCTGTGTTTATCGTCTGGTCTAGATGTTTCTTACGGCAACATGTCTGCAACAGTCATGTGACCCTAATATGGGTTGCCTCCCCTATACTGCGAAACGCGAGGAATATGAATGCATGTTAAGGCAAATGTTTTAGTGGTTAGTTAAAATAAAAAATGAAACATCTAGACAACTTCACAACGGGTGAGGTGGTCTAGGAAAATAGGCGGGAAGAGAGCAGGGGCAGAAGGTGAGCTCATATGCTCAAGAGGCAGTACCGCAGAGATGAGTTGAGAGCCAGTGGTGAGAGGATGGGGGGCCAGATCCTCTGGACCCTGCAAGGGGAGACAATAACAGCAACAATAAACTAAGACAAGAGGAAAAGGGAGATGAGAGAGGAAGGGAGAGGGCCTTGAGAGAACAGAGCCAGTAGTTGTTGGAAAAAATATCACTGGGACACATTTTGAGACATGGGTCACATCTGATGTAGGATCTATAAAAAGGTCCACTTGTTTTATGCCTTATCGGTATATCAAGTAATTCTCGGAATAGGGCTGCATCATTTAAGGTCTTTGCAGTTTTCAGTCTGATAGACCAGTATGTTGCCAGATCATTGTGAATTCAGTTTTGTTTGTAAATACAAGCTGAACTATTGTAGCAATAAATGTGCACATTATTTCTGTTATCTCAACCCTGATCTTACAATAAGTTATACATGATCTATCTGTTGCACCAACATTACTTATTGTTAATGGGGCAGCTTTGGCAAAGAACAGAAATGGGTTTGGGGAGGTGTTTGGTTACGGGAATTCGGTCTTTCGGTTTGTCATCATGCACAATATTTGGCAAAATAATGAAGACCAGCAAGTGGCAAATAATAGAATGAACCATAATGTAAGTTCAAATAAATGGCTATAAAATACAATCACATCTGGAATGCTTAGCAACACCATAAGGACTGGATTTTATGTTAAAGCCCATTCCATAATTTGATGCATAGTAATGAGTTATTGCATCAATCATTTAATGACATCCCCCCCCAAAAAAAAATCTAACTTCTGTTCCTATAAATTCAGTATATAACTTAATATGGAAAACAAAAAAGATGTATTCCAGCATAATAAATGAACATTATGTACTAAAGGTATGATGAGTAGGTCAGAGGGCTGGAGTAGTGAAGCATTATTAGCTTGCATGTAACGGGCATGAGATAACAGAATGTAGGCTGGCCCGATGTTGTACTGTGGATCGGTAACATTAGTGAAAAGAAAAAAGGTTTTGTGACATGTGGCCTGTGAGATGAAGGAAGTGGAAGAAACAAAGCAGAAAACACAATAAGCCATGAAGCAGAGCGCAAAATTAACAAGAGTTAAGCACAGCAGCATGGTGGAATGGAAAGTAAGCAAGCTGGGATGCGCTGAGTGCTTTATCACATCTTCCAGACGCTACACTGTAACCGATGCACAAGATCATATGGATAAGCACAGAAAAACAGTTAATAATATGACAGCATGATACACGCTGGAAGACTGTGTTCCAACAAACTGGACTTTTTGTTAGCCTGTAATGATGGGAGCTCCGTTGTTATTCATTTGATTAAATGGTACTAAAACATTACAATGTTAACAAACATTAGAAGATCATTAAATAGAAGCTATAGATTTTCACAACATTAAAAACCACACACACACACACACACTGTAGTTTGTACATGTATTAGTGGGACGCCAATGAATGTTAAGGTGAAATTAAACTAGCAGCTACAAAGACATCACATACAGATACTATCATCAATGGCGAAGGATTTTATTGTGAGGTTTAAGTCCTGTGAGAAACCATCCCTGATACAGTAATTATAGGCCAGAACAGCATGAATACCTGGCTGTCAAATTCATTCGCAAGTTGTTTTTCACACCTTTTATACAGCGCAACAGCTGAAACAAATCCCTCTTTGACAGATCAGTTGCACCAAACCCATGCCATTTTTGTGGTCTTGAAAAGAGGCTACATAAAGAAAAATATTATTTTTCTTTGAATTAACCATTTTCTAGGCTTCATTTTGAGGCAGTGAGGCGCATAAATGTAATGCAAATTTATTGAATGACAAGTAAAGATAGATACTCTCACTTACATCAGGCTGGCAGCGGTTCGCCCTGCGTCCGTAACTGCTAATTTTGGGTGGCTGCACAGACTGTCGCAGGGGGATGGAGTGGGGCTTGTACTCTTTATCCACATCCTCGCCATCATAGTGCTTCGGCTTGCAATGCTATAAATGGCATAAAAAGAGAGAGTTTACATGAAAACAACAGATTAACTTCTATCTCAAGTTTTTTATTCCAACAAAAAGAAAGTGTACAACACATAAGATAGTAAGTTACTCTTTACTTTATTATTTTAAATGCTATCTATTAACGGATAACTGTGTGGAGTGATACCGGTAGGGTGGCACCAGACTGGAACATTTCAAAGGGGTAGACGATCCTCTCGTAGTGCGAGCGCAGCAGAGAACCAATGTTCTTGCCTGGAGGGTAGCCGAGCCTCTGGGCCACGCGAGCCCAGCGCCGTTCCTTACAGACCATCTCAAAACCTCCTTCATCTGTTACAATCTGGAATAGAATTTTTTTTTTTGACAATTTTAGCAACTCGTAGGTAAGAAACAAAATCATCTACTTTAAAAAAAAAGTAGATACAAATTCAATTCAATATCTACCTTTGACAAGCTGAAAAGATCAAGGATGCGCCTTTCAATGTGTGGGATTTTCAAGGAGGATGCCTGGATCTCCCAAAACCTGGCAATACGGTCCAAATAATTAAGCTTCACTCTGGTTTCCGCCTGAAATGAGATGCACGAGGGATTTCATTAACAACTTTCATTATCTGTCAATAATGTATAACTGTATGGGAAGAAAGGAACTTACCTCCAACTCATTAAGCCTCTGGATGCGGGGTGTGAAGCGGAAGCTATCCAGCTCCACTGAAAAGGGTGGCTGCCAATCCTATTTGGGAGCAAAGACAATTAAACATGTTAATGTTATATACTAAAACAGCGAATTTCTGCTTTGATACTAAAAACAACAAATGAACGTGCACATGGGAGATTAATGAGATAGTGAGCTTAGTTTAGTCTTAACCCTGGTTTAACTCTGGCTTTCAGGCTCAAGAACTTGGCTCAGCTTTAACCAGGAAGAATAACCAACGTCACCTGCTCAAAAGCAACAGAGGGTCACACTATCAACAATTAATGGGTTACCTACTCATCAATTTAGCAGAAATTATAATTCCTACAAGATCTTGAAAATGGTGCACTGTCAGTAATGTCACATTTAGTAGAACAAATACTATATGTACAACTGTGTGATTGTGTCCACCATGCCCGTAAAGATAAGCAGTCCCATCGCTTTAATTCACACTTTAGCAATTTTCCTCCAGTAATCATCTCCTATCCTCTGCTGAAGAAACAGCTTTATATTTGTGAAACTGTTTTATTGTGTAATGTAAGTCTTGTGAAAAAGTAATGTGTTTATTGGATGTAACTTATTGCATTTGTTCCAAATGTTAGTAAATTATAATGTTTATAAGGAGGAGCACTGAATGTAATTTATGGAACAAGTGTAACTGAAAATAAGCTTAAATTGGGGGGATTGTATGCGTTAAGAAAATAACTTTTGACTGTTTTATTGTTTTTGTAGATCATTTTGTGTAACATATTTTAACCTTGATGAATCATTATTTTTGCCCTTGTAAAGAAACAAACATCCATGGAAATCAATAATTTGATTTCAGCTTAACTTGAACATGTTGATCTTTTTGTTGATGATGCACATAACCAAATTAACGTTAAAAATGATAACTTCACGTCCAGAGCAGGACTAGGGTAAACCTGAGTTGACAGAACCACTAGATAACCATCTTTGTCTGACTGGTTATTCGGGATCATGTTATGCTTGAAGTCTGCCAACTCAAATATAGCCTGACAAAACAAAATAAGGTGAAACATATGGTGCTATCCATTTGTCTCGTAAATCCCCCGCCCGAGTTGCTCTGCCGCGAGAACGTGACGTAATTGCCTGTCTTGTACCACTTATAGCGTTCCATTTGTCTTTGGGCATTACGAGTCGGTAAGAACATCGACGCCACCAGTGCAGCAGCTGTGTTGTTATTGATTGTGGCTCATCTAAACAAGCTCTATGTCAAATAATAATGTTTTTCTACAGAAACACTAACATTTCAAGTAATTCCGTTATTGCAAGTCTTACATTTCAATAATATTTTGCCATTTTCGACTATTTCAGTTTCAACAAGTGCTGTGGCGTTTTTCTCGAGCCACCAGGAGCCACCAGGAGCCACCAGGAGCCACCAGGAGCCACCAGGGGCAGTGGCAGGCTAGTGTTATTGTTAACTACATTAGCCTATTTAGCAAACCAGCTCGAAAACAAAACTTTACATTGTATTGCACGCACAACAACACCGTGCAATGCATGAATTGGTGACACGACTAAAGAAGCAATGTAAACAAGTGTGTGAGAGCATTTAAAATCGACATTAAAAACGACCAACGTAGTACAAATACAAAGAAAATACATCAAAATATGGGTGCTGCCGTCTTTGTTTTGCGGGTCGTACGTTCGTCCTCGTTCAGCTCGGTGTACTGTGAGGTACCCGGAGCTGGACGGCTGAAATTCCGACCAAAGGGGGTGTGTCTCTGTGAAATGTCGCGAGATAGCTGCGAGATTTACACTTTCCAACGGAGGCGGTCGGTTTCCGAGACAAATGGATCGCAGCAATAAATCTATGTCCTTCATGTCACCAGAACCAATGGAGCCTGTCAGATGATGGGTGAAGCACCTTCTTCAGTGGACTTTAAAATAGTACTTTAATCCCAGTGGATGCTACAAATCTCACACATAGAAATCAGGGAACATGCACAATTTCTTTAAAATAATCCAAGCATATGCATATATTTACTGGTGGAGGTCGAATTTTGCAGATTCCAGACTTCTCTGCAATTGGACGTATCTTGGCGATGTAGCCCAGGGGATCCTGAAATTCCTCCCATGACGGCTCAAATACTGGACACTCCGGAGGAGGCACGAACTCCTCCCCTTCCATTGCCCTGACAAAAGGAAGATTGACAATACAGAACAAATATAAGAAACTATGGCAGACTCATCAATGGGCATGATAGCATTAATACAGCATCCTAGAAAGCATTTTATGCACGCAAATCTTGCTTTTAATTTGTGAAGAATTTAAAACGTTGTATACTTCTTAAAGACAGCTTCAAGACTTATTTTTTGTTTATCTACTTAATAACCTTCAGATACTCTGGGACAGTTCAAAGCGGTCTAAATAAATACACAAAGTCAGGAGAAACTGATACGTGGGACAAGTTACGTTCACCGTCCAGCATTTTGTCTTCAGAAGTTACATTGCATGATTTGTGGATTTGTTGTAGGCAATGTAGAATTTCAGCTAAACTGAATAAAAAGTTAAAGGGACACGTGGATGAGAAAATAAAAAGCACATTATATACATGCTTCAATAGGTCACTGCATTTGTACACTTGCAAAATCCTTACTTCCTGCTCTAGCAACGCATTGTAATTCAGTCTGCTGTAAATATATATGACTGTTAGTTCCTCTGTATGAGTGTTAGTTTATCATTTCCTCCAAAACTCTACATGTTGGTCAATAACATCAGACATGGGGAACCACAGGATGTGGATTATTATTTTTTCTTCCCACTTTCAAAGTGGTCCTCTTCCAAACCCCCTCCCCCAACATCAGACACAACAAAACAAACGCCATGCTCTGGCGAATTAACACGGCCCAGAGTGGAAACAGGCAAAAGTTTACAAGTGATGATTTATCTGAACATCAATCAGATGATTTAAGTTCAGGAGGGATGGCAACATTTCTGTATACTTGAGCCACAAACACTGCTTCATGTAATTTCAGTGTGTACACACACACACACACACATATATATATATATATTTATATAAATATAAGAGTCTTAATAGAGGAGTCTAACATTAGTTTTTAAATAAAACTACACAACTTGATGCTGGGACTTGTGTGACCCATATATCTGATGGGCCTTCAGACAAACAATGGCGTGGAGGCCATGAACCCTAAAGGTATAGAAGGCCATGAAGGCATCACTACTCCCACATTAACTAACCAGCGTTTGGCCCAGACAAACGACAACACATTACACAATTACTCGATGGCAGAACATCGTCACACTTCACTAAATGTCGAGGTTGCCTCACATCTTGATAGCTGACAACTGTTAGCTCACTGGCTACTAAAACTTGAGAGAACTGGTGTTATAAAAAAAAAAAAAAAAAAAAAAAAAAAAACTAACCTTACCTTTCAGCCACAGCCAATAACAAGAGCAACCAAAAACACCGAAAAAACAAAAACAAATCCCTCAAATTAAAATGATTTATAATCGGTCAGACAGCTAGATGTCATTCATTTCTCTCCCTCGGACAACCATGAAGTCTATTTGTGTCTATTGTTCAGCCATCAAGAGACGAGATAACGCCGCTTGCAGCTAACGTTAGCATGGAGGCCCCTAGTTCCCCATCGCCTCCCACGGGGTTTTTTTTAAATCTTTTTAAAAGGTAACTAACATCAGTAAGCTTTAAAACAACAACAAAAAAACAATATATAACCGCAAAACAACGCGAACACACACTCAAACACAATAATTGTCGCTAGCAACCAGCGCTAGTTAACGCTACTCATATCCATGTACGAAGAAGAAACCCCCCCTCCTCCTCCTCCTCATGCATTATATACTGTTTATATACATTTGTTTTAAACTCCACAGAGCCTCGCTGTATTCCGGTAACTGACCGAAGACACCTCGATGTCCCCGGGGGTATGATAGGGCTGTGGTGGCCGCTCTTCCTCCTCTGTTGTTGTGATGACTGGTGGTTAGCTAACGTTGGCCAGCTGTGCTCGGTCCAGTTTGGCTAGCTCTCTCGCTGCTAGCGAAGTTGAGCTATTTTTTTATTTTTTTTTTTGTTTTGATTAATTCTCAGTTCTCCATGTAACTCGGTCCTGTCGAAACACACGGGTTAAAAACATGGATGGCAGAGGCTCGTTTAACAGCAAACGAGGCTCTCAAACTTTATCAATTATGTCGTTATAAGTCATTTTCCGACCAACATCATCACTCTCTTCAGGCCATCCTATCTTTCTTGACGAGACGCCATCTTAGTTTTTTTTTTTTTTTTTCTCACGACCGAAGCACAACCCTCTTCATCTTCACACCACGTCCGTCACGTTTACTCCCTGAAAGTAGTACGCACGTACGCCAATAAACGGGGGGGGGGGAATTCACATTTGTGCTCGTTTTGTTATTTATTTTATTCTGATTTTATTGTTATTGTGTAACTAGAGATAATAAAGGCGTACTGTGTGGTTATTACCATATTGCATAATTTATAGGTTGCATATAGTTTCCAAGGTTTCATATGCAACTAGAAAGTGAAATAAAAATATGTTTATCTCTAATATCTCTATAAAGCTGCATACAATGGGCATTCAGCTCGCCTTTAAATTACATTTATATATATATTTTAATTGATCAAGTACTGAATTTATTAGCACAGTATAGCTGATTGACAATATTATATAATTTTGTTATATCTCCGAATCTGATAATTATAGTTGGTCTGACAGCGAGAAACCATTTTGATTTTTTCAAACCGTTCCCCTTTCTTTTATAAGATAAGATAAGATGTACCGTTATTGATCCCCCGTAGGAGAACTTCAGATTAGACACAGCAGCACAGGGAAATGTAGTGCAAAGAGTACAGACGTGTACAAGTACAATAAGATAATATAATAGAAAATATAGTTTATAAATGAAATATATATACACTATATGCGATATGTAATTAAAATGGTGTGCAAATATATTTTATTTTGATTTATACCCAATAAAAATAAAGGGAATACTGTGAAACTACCCTATATCTATTAGCAGTTTAATGTTGTCACAATGAAGCCCCTTATAGACTTGGGGTCTCCCTCTGTTTTTATGTATTATGCTACACTGGCATGAATGTAAATATCTTTAAATGATCTTTTTCTACGTGTGTAGCATGAAGAGACTGCAAACTTTAATTTCATCTCATAACCTTGTGTTGGTTTATGATAAATACATTTCCTCGATCCTTCACATTGCTCTTTATCTGTTAACGTTAATTAATGTTATAATCTTATAAACAGTTAATTATTTAGAGCAATGCGATGGTGGAAGCAGACCTGAAGTGATATAAAAAGTACACACAAGACCAATTCACTGCAAGGACACTTTAATTTATCAGAAGCAATAAATATTCACATCTCAATTCTCTATTCTTTCAGTACACATAATACATACACAAAGAAAAATTTGAAATCATTTGTTTAAAATGATATCAATAAGTGCACTGACATATAAACTTTTTTTAGGCTTCAATTATATCACGGCAACTCATTCTCTCACCTTCAGTCTGAAATAATAAGAAAAGAAAAAAGAAGTCAACATTCCTTTTGGCCAACATCTCCTACTCCTGTCCCTCTTTTATATGTACATAATTAATGGAACTCACATGCACGCACCTGAATACAGAATGGGAGTAGTTCGTCCCATAACTATGATAAGAAGCCTATGTATAGTATAATATGTACATTCAGGTTTATACAGTACAATCTATTCAATAAGTGCAGATATATTCATGCAAGAAGAGTTAAAAAGGACACCATAAAAAGAAAAGGCTAGCCAACACATACTTATAAAATCTGTATCTGACATTCTTGACTCTCTCCAAACCTCCTTAAAATCCTTTTCTCTAGGATTCAGATCTTCTTTAAACTTCGTCATCTCTTTCAGTAGCTTGTTCCACAGACTTTTTTTTACTTTGTCCTCACCCATCCATTCTCTCCTAAATCAGAATATATGTAGTTTTCTCTTGGTAATCAATGGCACTGAAGGTAAACCAGATCAGTGCTCAGTTACAACCTCAAAAAAAAATGCAGTAGCAAAAGGGGCAACATTTACACGAAGCCCACAGAAAAAATGGGGTGGAAATACAGTAATACCTGTAGGCTTTTTTACATTCTTGACTCTTGTTGCGCTTTTAAACAAGAAGCCCTCGGCAGGATGCCATGGCATCAGAAAATGTAATAAGAGATTTCTAAAAGTGGCAGAAGAGGGAGGATTAGAAGAAGGCCATTTCTGACTTAAGACATCACGTGTGCAAAACCACAAAACCTCATGTAAAAGCGTGCTTCTTCAAAACATAGAAAAACACACAATGACTAAATCAGATGACTGCGAGGAAGTGAGCACAGGTGCCCTGTACAACTATGAGGGATAGGCATCTTCCAAAATCCAGGTCTTTTTCCAATTTCCACAACCGTGTTTAAGCCTTTTACCAATACTGGGAGCTTCATAAACATAAAAAAAATTAAAACATTAACTCAGATCCATTCAGTAAGTTCAAGTTTTGTTAGTCTCCCCATTTGTGAAATTGTGCCTGTTTGCTCACATCAAACAAAACAAAAAAAGGAGGAATATTGTTGATGTTCAAATCAATATGAACAAAACTAAACCCCATTCATTATTTTCAACAATCAATAATACTAATTATTAAAAAGATGAACTCAATGGAAACCATGGTACAATGGAAATAAATCACACTTCACATATCAGAACACCCTCTAGTGGCTATGGCAAACTGAGGGAATTTATATGTGCATATACTCTCTATAACCATGTACAAACATCTGCTGATATAATTATTCACTAATCAAAACAATTAATTGGACAATATTCATCATACTCATAGCAGGTGTATTATAATATTGATAAAACAGCAAGAAGCTTCAGAAACATTCAAAATATATTATTGATTGTATCATTAATTCCCATACCCAACAAGGAATGCATTATAAAGCCAGGTGGCTCCTGTTGACATGTAAAAGACCATTAAGCAAAAGACTGTCAGGAAACTGTGCACTGGCAAGTTTAAGACAAAGCAACATATCTGAGGTCTTCTTTAAAAAAAAGGGGGAAAAAAATGCCTGTCAGCATAGCAGAACCTGCAAGAATGGACTGGGACATCGTGAAGCCAAGTAAATTATTGCAAAGTCAAGGGACATTTTTTGCAACTCTCTGCTGTTTTTAATGCCAAACTCCGCCGGAATGCATTTCGTGGTTTAGTCTTTATTTACATCCCCATGTAAGCAGCTGTATATATATATGGTCTCCGTATTTCCAGTGTCACGTTATCACATCTTGGTACTGTACATGTAAATAGTCTCATATAGACTCAACTAGACTTCAAACGCTTAAAACTGAGGCAATATACCTAGATATAGATTTAGCTTCATCTTAAATTATATGGCTATAGACTTTTTTTGATATTGTGTGTGGAGTGAGTGTTTGTTCATGTGGATGGATGTGCATGTGTGTGTGTTTCTGTTTTCAGGTTTCAAAGATGTGTGCACACGCTATTTAACTCTAGCTGTGCTTTTTTATCTCCACCTACATGTGTGGGAAACGGAGGTGAAAGTAACAGAGACGAAGCAAACTGCGCTTCCTCTTGTCACTAGCGCTGCTGCTGTTACTTTCTGTCCTGGCAGACTTGGTCCTAGATCTAGTTCTGCCAACCTCCTCCACTCTATAATCTGACCTCTGACCCCTGGGGCCCCACATCTTGCTCATACCACGGTACTTATCCGGTTGATAGGCTTGGATTTGGAGCTGCCCCCTGTACCTGTCGCTCCAGCCCCCGTCACCTGCGGCCCCTGCTGAGGCTGCCCTGGGTGCTGGGGGGGGTGAGGGGAGAGAGGTGTAAGAGGGGTAAGGGGGGACGAAGGGGGGGGTAAAGGGGAGTGTGGTGGGGGAGGGGGGATGGAAGAGAGAGGAGGGTACTGGGGCAGATACGGGCCGGCGGACGCTGCGTGATGCGCATTGACGGACGCGGATGGTAGATTGTGGGGCAGAGTGCCGAATATAAAGTGTGTTTGATGGGTAGAGTGGCTGGCTGGGTGTGGTGTGTGCACGTGTCCGGGGTGGGTTTGGGAGTGTGCGTGGGGGTGCGGGTGGGAGTGTGACAAGGTTAGTGGAAGTTTGGTACCAGGGGCGCCGCCCCCTCTGATAGAGAGTGTGGGCTGCACGTGGTATAGGGTGAACTGAGGGTTCTGGGAGTGTTGGGAGAGAGGAGAAAGGGGGGGGGGACATCCCACCACCATGTTGGCGTAACGACCCGGAAGCCCATGCTGGGAGAGCTGGGAGAGATGGGCCAGCTGTGGGTGCTGACCGTGCGGTGGGCCAAGCGGTGGACGACAAGGTAGTGGGCCTCTCTGTATAGTATGAGGGGGCATACCTTGCAAAGGAGGAGGGACAGTTTGGACGTGGTAGCGATGGTGATGGTAGTAAGGTGGTGGGGGCTGCACGGTGGCCGCGTGACAGTACTGTGCGTGTAGTGCCTGGATCTTGGAAGGCCCCCCGTCCAGCTGGCACAGAGATGAAGGGGAGTGAGGTGGGGGCCCTCCTGTAGTCGGTGGGGGGACAGGTGCGGGGAATGGTGGCCCCGGTGGAATAAGGGGCCCTGGTGGTTTGGCACGTTTGCTGCCAAATAGGGATCCCAGGAAGGAGCCGCTGTTGTTGGTGCTGCTGCTCCCCCCAGGGCCGCTCCCCGCTCCTGCTCTCTCTACACTGCTGGAGACTCCCCCAACTCCTGTCCCAGCAGTGGTATGTTGCTGCCCCGGCCCACCCCCCACCCCCGTTCCGGGGCTCAGGATGGGGCGGTGAGGCCGGAAGTCTTCTGTTCCGTAGCAGCCAGGCACCACACCTGGCACTGTATAGCGCTGGTGAGGCTGTGGGCTGCTAATGATGGAGCCCTGGGGGGATAAAGCATCATCATGCTTTAGAAAAAATCCCTGTAGGATTGCACTACAGCCCCTGTTCCCACTTACATAATCACACACAGGACATATTTCTATCTGGGGGTGAAGGACATACTTGGACAAGTAAGAACACACACAACCATGCCAAGATGTCAGTGCAGGGCAGGTACATGTGGACACACGCACATACATGTACATGCGCTCACTATCTATTTGTACACTGTACACACACTGAGCATGCTCGGGAAGATGAAGCACGAGTGTAGGGAAATGCAGGCCTATTAAACGTTACAGGTCAACATCTAGTCTTTCAAACTTACTTCCATG